CCTCAATTTAATTGAGTTATTTCGACTATTATTTTTTTACAGTGTATGTATTATGAAAATGAGATAGCAAAATGTGTATATTGATGGTCATCTTGCGAGTAATAACCATTAACTCTCTCATCGGGCTCTCATCCTTAATTTTTCTCTTCATTTTTTTTTTTTTTTTTGATGGTGAATTATTGGGGGGATGATTGTACAGGCCACCCCCCCCCCCCACCTGAAATATTGGGGGGGGGGGATATATCCCCCCCCATCCCCCCGGGATCGACACCCATGGTCAGATGAGCGTACTTTAATACCTTATTTGTGACACTGGCAGGTCACAAATTGACGTGGGGTCCAGGGGGTGAATCCCCCGAAAGCTCAGGGATTTTGGGCAATAAATTACGGTCAGATGAGCATATTTTGATACTTTATTTGTGACACTGGCAGGACACAAATTGGTGTTGGATCCAGGGAGCGGAGCTCCCAGAAGCTCAGGGGTTTTATACATTAAATTATCGTCAGATGTTCTTTCAAATTTGACACTCAGTTTTGTATTATCTCACACAAATTATTTTGTGTAGCGCCCTCTGCAACAGAACTCAACTATCCCTTTAACTCTCCTTTTTTATAATGGAATATAATTTTTGTGTGATTCAATTCATGTTTTACTATTTTTTATATTCTTTTTGGCTAAAAAATACAAACTATTTCTGACCTTTATGTCATTATTGTGCATCTATTATTTTAACTAACTTGAAGATGATGCAAAACATTCCAAACAGTCCCTTAATGTGTGAAAAAAACAATTCATTTCACTTATACTAAGCCCTTTATTTGATGGTGACTAAGTAATATGAGGGATACTATAAGTCTTAAATGTGTTGTAACGTAAGTTACTTCGCAGGCTTATGTCATATCAACGCACTGGCAAACTGGTGGGGGCGCCAGCCCCCCCCCCCCAAAAAAAAAAAAAAAATAAATAAAAATAAAATAAAAATAATAATAATAATAATAAATAAATAGATAAATAAACCATGACTTTTTTTTAATTCCATGATACAAGTGATTTATAAATGTTCGTGATATCACATGATTTTCAACGTTTCTCCATTTCTGTTGCAGACTGCCACATTTCCAAATAGCCAGGAAGAGCATATGTTTTTTTTTTTTATAGTCACTAGTGGGCCTTAGTGGCCACTAACAGTAACACTAGTAGAAAATTCCTTTCCAGAAGCTAATGCGACAAGCCGTACTGTCGGGAGAAAACATGCTACCCGGCCACCACTCGGGCTGTGCATGCACAATTTTGCGAACGAACGTACATTTATTTATTTATTTCACATTTCTATACAGGGTATCTCACTCAGATTAAAAACGGGTCTTCCATAAGGCCCTGTCTCAATAAAAATACATATATAAACAGATCATGTAACGCTGCACGTGTACCGTTATAAGGGGTTCAGTGGGGAAACTGAATTCAGACAAGGATTAAGAGTAAAGAACGGTAAAACGAATCGTCTTATTTCTCTAATACTTTAATAAAACGGCAAAGCTCCCGCGCTTCCCGCTGGAGGGGGAGGGGGGCAACTGAATTCAGACTAGGATTAAAGTCGAGAACGGAACAACGAACCGTCTTCTTTCTCTAATAATTTAATGAAACGTGAAAGCTTCCGCGCGCTTCACGCGGGATGGGCGAAAATGAATTCAGACAAGGATTAAGAGTAATAATTCATTGAAACGTCAAAGCTTTCGCGCTTATAATCAGACAAGGATAAGAGTCCAGAACGGTACAATGAATCGTCTTCTTTCTTTAATAATTAAATGAAACGTCGTAGCTGCTGCGCTTCGCGTGGGAGGGGCGAAACAAGAATTAAGAGTCGAGAACGGTACAACGGATCGGCTTTTCCTCTAATGATTTAATGATAGTGAAAGCTTCCGCGCTTTGCGCGGGTTGGGCGAAAATAAATTCAGATATGGATTACGAATAATGATTAAATGAAACGTAAAAGCTTCCGCGCTTCACGCGGGAGGGGGAACTGAATTCAGAAAAGGACACGATACAATGAATCGTCTTCTTTCTTTCTTAAATTAATGAAACGTCAAAGCTTTCGCGCTTTCCGCGGGAGGGGGAGGAACTTAATTCAGACAAGGATTAAGAGTCGAGAACGGTACAAAGAATCGTCTTCTTTCTCTAATATTAAATGAAACGTCATAGCTTATGCGCTTCGCGCAGGAGGGGCGAAAAAAGAATTAACAGTCGGGAACGGTTCAACGGATCGTCTTTTCTCTAATAATATAATGATGTGTCAAAGCGTCTGCGCTTCGCGCAAGAGGGGAAAACTGAAAAATAACTTAGTTCCTGGCCCCGGGGTTATAGGGTTGAATTTGTAGACATTGGGACATTGGCATTAATATATTTGTCGGTAATTTGTGGCTAGTTTTGTCGGTAATCGGTGGTCTCTACACCCCACCCCCCCCCCCCCCCCCCACTGAAAAAGGTCTAGCGACGCCCCTAATAACAACAGAGTTTACACACTCGAGAAAATTCGTGCAAGTACTACTGGTGAAGTACTGGACCACGTCTTTATGCACTGTGCAGCAGCGAAGCATATAGAACGTCTCATGACGTGAAAGATCTTTTTTTTCTTCTAACTTCTAACCAATCTAACTTCTAACCAATCAGAAGGCCTCGTTTTTTCCCCCAGGAAGTGCCGGTGGACATTAATGCGCCAAATGTGGTTCTCAAATTGCAAAAGATCCCTACTCTTGGAGGGGGTAGGAGAAAGCAATTTTATGTCATATTACTCCAGGTAGTGCCTGAAAATGCGTCTAATGTGGTTCTAAAATTGCAAATGCTTCCTACTTTGGTCACAACCCCCTCCAAGACCCACCCCCGCTTGGTCGCTCCGCTCCCTTACCGATACAGCCTCGCTCTGTCGCTTCATCGTTTTACATAAATATATTTCACCCCATGCCATTTTGTGCAACCCCCCCGTAAGAAATTCCTGGATCCGCCACTGATACCCATACCCTTGAGCTTCGGGAGCTCCGCCCCTTGACCCCCGCTGGGCCTTTGCCCATGTAAGAGTGGGGTGTTGCGGATTTTTTTTGTCAGCCCCCCCCCCCCCCCAATAAAAAAAAAAGTGGAGTTGTTGTAGACCATGTTTGTTGATATTACGTGCCTTTTCATGACTTTGAAATTAATAATATTGGTCTAAGAGAAGAGGCAAAACAGGAGGACATATATATATTTTTTTATGGTCCTGAAATTTGAAAAATTTGACCGATCGACATTCCGTTCCGTTGGGGGGGGGGGGGGGGGGTTAGGTCATCTTTTGTATGTCATCCATTTAGTTTAATTTAAAGTGGGGGGGGGGGGGTTCCCGAAAAATATACACATTAAAAAAACTCAAGGGGGGGGGGGTTAACCCAACCACCCCCCTCCCCTGCGTACGCGCCTGACTATGCTTATCAGCTAGGGGACCTGCGCCCCTAAGTCATAAATGACAGTAATGAGGTTTAATGCCCCACAAAGGGGCACTAATGTAGCACATCCTGGGGCCTCACAGTTACGAGGCCATTGCTTTGCCACTGAACCATGACTGTACGCAGCGGAGGCTAGGGTAGGGGGCAGTTCCCACAAATAAAATTTAAAAAAAGAAAATGCAATAAATTATCAAAAATTCATTGAATTCCCCCCCCCCGGTCCCCAACATTAAAAACTCCTCTGCACGGTCATGCATTATAGTTCAAGGCATGGCCGTATAGAGGATGTCTTTATGTTGGGGACCTGGGTGAAATGCAATGAATTATTGATAACTTATTGCATTTCCTTTTAATTTTTTTTTATTTGTGGGAACTGCCCTACAAACTGTGACTTTTTATCGGACAGAGAAACATTTTTGAAAATTCAGACAATGATTAAGAGTCGGTACAACGAATCGTCTTCTTTCTCTAATAATTAAATGAAACGTCAAAGCTTCCGCGCGTCGATCGCGCGGGAGGGGTGGGGCAACTGAATTTAGACTAGGATTAAGAGTCGAGAACGGTACAACGAAATCGTCTTCTTTCTCTAATAATTTAATGAAACGTGAAAGCTTCCGCGCTTCGTGCAGGATAGTCGAAAATTAATTCAGACAAGAATATCAACCCCAGCTTAGGCTCCGCTGCTGACGTCTCGCCGCTGTCGCTTCGCTCCATCGTTTTTCATATATATATTTCACCCCATGCGATTTTGTGCCCCCCCCCCCACCCCGGTAAGAAATTCCTGGATCCGCCACTGTTACCAATGTCTAAAAAATTGTATATTTTTGTTTTTAGATTTTCCTTTGAAGGAGCCCCTTTTCCCCAGAAAGTGCCTTTCTTTGTTGGTGCCCCCTCACTTTGGAAGTCGCTCCGCCGCCTGATCATTAAACACCAAATTGCACCCTAAGAAAATTACGATATTCATAATTTAGGTATACATTTTCATTGAACATTTAAACCCAATTAACCGAATTAAATACCTTTGGAAGGTAAAAAAAAAGTTATTTATATATGTTTTTTTCTTTTAATTTTGCCTTGAAGGGGGGGGGGGGGGTTGTGGGCAAAAAAAATGGTCCAAGGAGCACTTAATTATTTTTGTTTAGGGGGCGGGGTCTGAAAGCCAGATTTTAATAAAATTCTACCAGTTTAAAATCATTTTGATGTACCAAAACTGATACCTGCATTAGCTGCATACTTCTTTGCTCTGGAAATTAGGCTAAAATAATACTGACTGATCCAAAGGGCGTCTGCTGATCCAATCCTAACCAGACGGAAGTGTTGGCCACTTTGCTTGTGTGTGTGGTAGTATTTTTTTCTTACTAATACATAATACTGACAAAGTCTGGTGCAACTTGTCGGCTTGGCGCAGGCTCTCATGTTGATTTTTAAATTTCGTATGTAATATAGAAGATTGTCGTCATCGTTTAGAGAAAGCTCTGTTTATAGAGGTCTAGCGCCATCTTGAGATAACACTCGTTTTATTGATTCGGCATTAATTTCGTGCATTCCATGTATACGTACTGCATAGAATCCTGTACGTAGCTCGTAAAAACTGTAACTTCACTCACATCACAGCCACTTTATTGTTATTTTACATGCACCGGAACCATCATGAAATGAGGAAAAGAAACAGATTTCGTGGCCAAATCCATTTGATTTGGCCCAAAACTTCACATGTTAGGGTTCAGCCTACTCATGTTTGTTGTCTTGAATTATCAGAGACAGGTCTGACGTGTAGCAAAGATGGAAAATTTCCGCCCATCGACGGATTTCTCAGTGAATGCAAATTATCAAAACTTCGTTTCCAACGCCACTTCTCAAACAACAATGGGCGATCATAATCGGCTTGTGAACGTCAATGCAAGATGTAAACTCACTGGATCTGGAGCACACGTTCCAGCCTCTTTGAATGGAAGTAAAATGGATAAGATGACAGACAATGAGGAATCTGTGACCCAAAGACTAGAAGCTTCTCTGAGGTTTGTAAAATATATTAGGCCTAGGGCCTAACAGTAACAGTTAGGTCTAAAGTTAGGTCTACTTTTTGATTTTGTTTGTCTCAAATTCGAGTCAAAGTAAAAAATTAGTTAAACTTGTTTTTGAATTCTGATTTCTGATCCTGAGTGAATGACTTTGGAAATTGGAGTGGACGTGGACTTGATGTTGACAAGAAACTAAGTGATCACGCCTCCATTTATGTTCGGGTGATAATGTTTGATGATGTTGATTATTCCCCTTGAGGCTTGAGGCTTGAGGTAGAACTCTAGCCTAACTAACAGTTAGACCTAGATCTAGTCTATATTATGATTAATGCCATGAATTGTTGGATATCTACACTGTAGGCCTAGGCCTAATCGTTATTTCGCACTCCAACACAAAAAGCTCCACAGACATGTCTGAAAAGCTCCACAGACACTGCACTGCCATGTGAGATCAGAGTCAGAGCCGATGCAACCAGAAATTTACCATTTTCCGACTAGGCCCTAGAGCTCTATGATAAACTCGAGCAAGATAAGCAAAAAGTCAATGATAAATTAAAAGGTTGAGCTAAGAGAAAGTATGTGATAACGGGTAGCCTCTGCCGATCACTAGCAACGTAGCGCTTGTCCTCTGAGGGAGGGCGCCCTTTTGGATCTACAAATGCGTGACGTCATACGAATAAGGTCTAGGGCGTATTGCCTACCAATTATTGTATAGATCTAGGACTTAGACTAGACCTTTCATCAACTTCAAGGACCAAGATGTTTTGTTTCTGAACTCGGGACAGTTGATTTAAAAACAGTATTGATTTTAAGAAGCTGCTCACAACATTTCTTCAATCTTTTAAGAAATTATGTTAGACAGTATTTAGATCTATCTAATGTCAATAAAAAATATTTATGATGGTTAGGCCTCGTGCTATTTGACACATCAGGGGCCCGTTCCTAGAAACCGTCATAAGTCTAACTTCTTGACTATCCCATTGAAACGTGTGCTATAGAATTAACACACATTTCAATGGGATAGTCAAGAAGTTAGACTTAGACGGTTTCTAGGAACGGGCCCCAGGGGCTTATGTGTATTCACAAAGATTCTAACTTGAACTTATCTCTAAGTTGGACATAACAATTATGGAAAACCATTGGCATAGATCTATGAAAATATTGTGTAAAAGTGATTTCAAAGGCATCAAATGTTGATTCAAATCATTCATATTCTCTATTATCAAGGATATTTCATTTTCTTGATGTGGAATTTATAAAAAATACTTGAATTTTCACTTTTGAATATATTTTATTATAAGGCTACAAATGGCTCTCCATAATGTTTAAGTCGAACTTAGAGTTATAAAGTTAGACTTAAATGTAGGATCTTTGTGAAACACCCCCCTGTTAAGTAATATCAACCATTGGGAGCTAATTCATTTGCACATGTATGGTGGTGCAACCATAGTTCACGAGTGACCTTGGTTCTTTATCTCAAAAAGTCGGCAAGAAAATCTTACTACCGCCAATGGAACAAGGAACCTAAAATTACCCAGAGACAAATTCTCTATAGAATTGGGTGTGTAATTATGAAAAGATTGGCACATTTAAAGTCTTTTTCGTCCGTTCCAAAAAAAATATGAACTTTATTATACCGACAAGGGTCTGGAAATCTGTATTTTGAGAGCAGATGTCATCAAAATTGTAAGTAAAAAGTGGTTACAACTTACAACAGATTGTATGATATTTTGCCTGCAAAATATTAAATTAGCTGATATTTAGTTGATCGCTTTTTGTGATAAAATAGCTCTAAACCCTCGTGCGTGAATTGAGGTCTATTTTTTTTTTTTTTCTTTTTCATGAGTTGACTTGAAGCGCATTCCGCTCCGACATCAAAACTTGAGATCCCAATATCTCTGAAGTTCTTTGATGATAAATTTTCTTGTTGCACCAATTTTGATATCAAAAAGTTTGCTGTCCATTTGGTAATAATTGAACTAAATAAAATTGTAGAATATGAGAAATCATCATGTATCAATTCAAATATCACATTTCCTAATATTTAAAAAAAATCTGGTCGCCCCATCATATAAAATGAATAGGGAAAATAACAAAAAAAATTAAAATACCATCTCACACTTTAAAGATACTATATCTCTTTTGCAGCCAACATTGAATTTTGTAGAAATTTGCAGGAATTATGAATATGTCATGTATGTCCTATCTGTGAAATTTAAACGTCAGCAGTGTCCTAATATTCAAATTATGCAAGGAAACCCGTTTACTTGCTAGACTTCACCGTCATACACTATTGAGTGACTGACTGGCTTTGGTAATAACATACATAAAAATGAGCTGTAAAGGGTACATGAGCATTTGTCTACATGATACATCAATAACCCACTTCTTGTAATGACCAAAATTAAACTGATTGAATCTTTGCGCAGCATAAAACGTACAACCATTTGGTACAATGGCCTGACAAATCAAACTATTAATTACTGGCTCTATAGCTTTTAAGTCGATTTGACAACTAATAGTTGTTATTTTCCCACTTAAAGACATTTTCAAGCCCCCTTTTTTTTAGGGAAGTTCTAAATTAGTATTATCTTTCAAATACCATTAGAATTTAACCTTTTCATTTTTTTGGCCTGCAAATGGGACATAGTACCTTTAAAGGTATAGACAAGTTCTGGTCATGCGATTGCACTAGGGCTGTGCACAACAATGTAATGAGGTACCCGAGTACACTCCCAGAGTCCCAAGCTTACAAGCGAATACTCGAGTATTCGGACGCCATGTTTTTTATAATTTTTTTAATTTTAAAAATTTTTTTTTTTTTTTTTAAATTTTTGATTTTTTTAATTTTGATTGTTTTTTGCCACCACCATACCACTTGAGCAGTATCCCACGTCGCCGAAAACACATGCAATTTTACTTCGAGTTGTATTTGAAGGCGCCGATTTAATAATAACAGTAAACAATGCTGTTTTAAAAACCAAAGATGGCAGAATAATCCATTTTCCTCTGAGTCCCCTTTTTTCTGAGTGGTGAGTTTGACAGTGCTTGAGTTGGGAAACATTTTTCCAGACGGTACCATGCCAGCGGCCGCCGCTCTCCCTGGCACGGGTAAGCGTCGGCCTGGACAGTGCCAGGTGACCGGGACTTTTTTTTTGCGGCCGAATATTCGGGTACGAGAAATCGTACTTGAGTAGTTGTCAGCAGTGCGGGTACTCGAGCATTCGACTACTCTTCGCTGCCCTAGATTGCACTGTGAAAGAAACGTTGTGGAATCGATCAGAAAAGGTTGATCATCCAGCATATAAGTATTGGTGTGTTCTGAAAGGTTCTGGAATCATCAAAATGATAAGAAACTTGGCACGGTCTTGGTAAAGTTACAAGCACTGTACAGAGAATACCTGCCAACTACTACGATTTTGGCGTAATTATCACGATTTTATGTTTTAATTACGCGGTTTACGCCTTAAGATTTTTTTGTCACAAATTATGATATTTTTTTTCTTTTTCCCCTTTCACCTGGCACTATCAAGGCCAGCGCTTACCCGTGCCCGGGAGAATTAGGGCGCGTTCATGCATGATTTTGACGGCCAGAATCAGGCATCTGTTACGCGTTTAGTTTAAAACACGATTGCGTTCATGCTCACTTTTGTAGAATCACCGAAAAACGGCGATCACGATCGCCGATCGTAAACTCACAAAAAGATGCGTTTACAATTTGTAAACGCGTTTAAATGGGGTCAATGCACTGACCTCTAGTGGGTCTACGTAGCATGCGCACACAGGTTTGCGAATCTAGCTGAAGGCCACCCAAGGAGAATTGCCTGGAGAAGTGAGCATGAACAGTGCACCGTGGAACTGCGTTTACGATGAGCGTTTACGATGAGCGTTACAAATCGCTCATTCTGCCTTCAAAATCAAGCATGAACGCGCCCTTAGTCTCTCATCTTTGGTTTTGAAAACAGCATTGTTTACTATTATTATTATTAAATCAGCGCCTTAAATTCCAACTCAAGGAAATGTCGGTGATGGACCTGGTATACTTCTACCGTAGTATGGTAGTGGCAAAAAACAAACAAACATGGCGTCAGAGTAATCAAGTATTTGCCTGTAAGCCTGGGAATGTACCCAAGTACCTCATTACACGCTTACACACACTAAGCTTTTAGTCCTTGTTTTTTGTTTTTGTTTTGTTGGGTAAGGGGTTGCAAAAGTGTTGAAAAATGAGTTTAAAGTGAAGGAAAAAGGCATTCCTCCCTACCGTGGGGGGGGGGGGGGCAGCCCTCTCCCACACCCACTCCTCACAGTCCTCGTAAAAAATGTTTACTATTTTAAGTCTTCAAAGGTTGGCTGGTATGTAGACGCAACACATGCACGATATTTATCCGGTCTGGATAGATAAAATAATTTACCAAATATATCAATTAGTAGTCGGCAAAGCATACTTTCAAATGATTGGTAATAAGAGCTTCCGTTTCATTTTTTGAGAGGGGGGCGCCCTCTATTAGTGCATGTCTTCTTCTATGTCCGTAAAAGCGCATAAACTACTAAGTGGGAAAATTAGTTGAGGGAGAGACGACTGGTGACTTCTCAAAGGGCCCAGTCGCACGCTTGGGACAGGTTAAACCAGAGGCCTCCCTTTTTGTTGAGTGTCCTAAATTGTTTTTAGTTCTTTTTACTCCTTGTTCAAACTACTTTCTTTCTCTGTACAAAAAAATGATTCCACGTGTTGACTGACACAAAGAGAGTGTCCCATCATGTTGAGGTGGGAGAAAACAGGTGTGGAGTCTGGTCTTATTTTTCAATGTTGGTTCATTCGTCCTTTCAGTGTCAGTTGAGTCTGACTGACGTTTCTGCTCACACCTGATGCCATAGAAGAGGTTTCTTTTCTTTGGTGGACTGATCTTTGGCATGGACGAGGAACTGTCACCTTGTCGATGCGCTTTGTGAGACGTTCATATTCCAAACGGGATGAAAACATGGCTGATTCTCTCTGA